ACATCCGCACCTGGGTTCAAGTCCCGGGTCTGCCACCCCCGGCTTCCTGAACTGAGCGGGCAGCCTGGCTCTGCAGGCCCTTCTCTGCTCCGCGAGGTTCGGGAGCGCGGTGCGCTGCCCAGCGATGCTCGCTTCAACAAGCTGGGTCCTTTCTGCAGCGTGCCAGGCCTGCCTGGGGCCCCTGGGTGTTACTGACTGAAGAACTTGGGGTGGGGCTGCCACTCCCGACTCTAAGTTTCCCATCTGTAAAATGGGAATAAATGTCCCCAGTTCATTATCATTATTCTCTTGGCCCTTGAGAGAGAACCGGCTCTGCCCTCGGTAAAATGAGGTTTCCAGTAAGAGTAAGACCCCAGTTCTGATCTCTACGACAGCCCCAACCCTCGACACCAGCACCAAGCAGCGGGGCCTCCCCAGCCTCTGCCCCACGTCTTCCATCTTTGTCCAGGACCACAGAGGTCCTGGGTCCTAGGTGTTGGGTCTGCAGTGTGGGGCGGACGAGGAGCTGTCCGCATCTTGGTGCTGAACCGGAAGCAGAGGCGGCCTAACGCCCCCAGGCGCAGCGGCCAGGGTGGCGGTAACACTTTGTAGGAGAGGCCCTGGGGAGCGCGCGTCCTGCCTGCTAGGGACGCCCGGAGGCGCGTGTGGCCCTCGAAGGACAATGAGGGCGAAACAGGCAGGCCCTGTTCAGGAGGACCCTGCCCACCCTCTCCACTCCCACCCCCACACCCTGGGGGCGCCCTGGCTCCACCATCATTGTCACCGTCAGGCCGAATTCTGAGACTCCTTTTCAAAAAATCATTAGGAGGCTAAGAGTAATTACTAAGCGGGATTGTAGTTGTGGGACGGGGGAGCCTGGGCCAAGGGAGGGGAGCCGAGCAGGCAGGAACTGGAGGTGGCATTCCGGCTGGGACGGAAAATAGGCTCCTGTTGTCCTTCCCGGGAGGGGGTGGGTACACAGAACCGCAGAGTCGCCCCGGACGGAGGCCAAGCTGGAAAAGACGTACGCGTGGAGGGCCAAGGCGGAGACAGGGAGAGGGGCTGGGGAGGGTTCAGAGCGAAAGGCAGGGCGCTTGGAGAAGGAACTGAGGGAGGTGAACGGAAGAACCGAGCTAGAAGAGACCAGAGCCCTGCAACTTGGGAGGGGTTCTCGGGGTGTTGGGAGACACACGGGGGTGGGGGTGGCCCTCGAATGCTAGGGCTGGGAGATCTGTTCGCTCCTCAGACCTTTCCTGGGGTCCCCGCGAACCAAGAGAGAAGTGGGGGGGGGGACGGGAGACGATCCCAGGGGAGCTGGAACGCAGGAGGGGAGAGGGGGCCACACCCCGGATCGTGAAGGAAACGAGGGGGCGGGGGAGGAGCGACCCCGGCCGCCACCCGCGGAAGATTTATGGCGCCGCGCGCCCGGGTTCCAAGGACAGGCTGCGCTGGCCTCGCCGCGGCTACCGCCGTCGGTCGCCGCCGTGGCCTGTGAGCTCTCTGCCCGGGCGGCCCGCGCGCCCCGGGCCATCCCTGCCATTATTAACTTCTGTTTGATTAGGGTAATTGTTCAAACTTGGCTGGACAGTATGATTAATTACAGTTTAATTAACGTGTCCATTAAGGACACTTAATGCCACAGGGGTTGGGAAGGAGGGTGAAAGCGACGTGGGGGCGCCTGAATGTGGGCGGGGTGGAGGGTGGTGTGACTTCGAACTCAAAGGAAGTAGACATAGAGATTTGGAGAGAAAAAGAAGCTGCGGGCCCGGCGAAGGGATTCAGGGAAAGGCAGCAAGTAGGGGTGGGGCAGAGAAATGGAGTTTCGGGGAGACCGAAGGTGCGGGCGGCGGGGGCTGGTCCCCCCAAAGCCTAGTTAGCAACGTTAACTAAGCAGTGGATCCCAGGTCTCGCCCAGAGTACCCAGATCCCTGCCGGCCTGCTGTTGGTGATGGGGGGTACATTCCAGGCTGGGGTGCGGTGGGGGTGGCAACCCAGTTCCCGATCCGGCCCAGGAGAAGGAGGGCAGAGGGCCACTCTCCAGCCTAGAGCTCTCCGGGGAGCCGTGGGGAAGCCGGACCTGCCCCTTCTGGCTGCTTTCTGCCTCGCCCCGTACCCTGGGCCTTGTCCCCAGCTCCGGTGACCCTCTCGGCTCCCCAGGGCCACTCTGGGTTCCTCTGCCGGAAGGCAGAAAGTGAAGTGCTTCTCCCAGCTCCCCTCTCTCTTGCGCTCCCCTCAACTCCGTCACCCGGCTCTAGCCGCGCCCGATCCTGGCCTCTGGGCCCTCCCCACTTTGTTCTTGGGGGCAAACTTTTCGGCCCCGGTCCCTTCCACCCTCTCGGGCTACTGCGGGCCGCAGGTGCTGGC